ATGTCTATTCTTGACGATAAACTGCCGGAAATTGGGAACAAAATTCGCTAATACTTACTACTGATGACTATTGAAACTATCTGACATAACTTGTCGTTAAGCTGACTGGTATTTGTGATATGGTTTGTCAACTGAACGTCAGACAACAACCTGGCAACTGAAAAGATTCGTACTGCGAAACAAAATCCATAAATATCAAAAAACATTCAATGAAATCGTAGAGGTCCAATGCTGACTCAAGGACATCACTGTTCAAGTACACTGGTGTCAACAATCGCTTACCCTATCGATCTTACTGTATCTTATTTATCGATAGACCAGAACTAATGACTCAAGCACAACATGGGTTATCGTTCATGATACACCATCAATATGAAAAAAGAACAAACATAGTTAAGGTGTGTTAGGTTACACAATGTGTATGCCACAGAACTTCACTTCCTCTAGGACTCTTGGTGAGATGATATAGTCACGGCGGTGCAAATGCATTCAGCCTTTGACATCTAAAGCTTAAACATCTGCGCTTATCAATACCTTCAGATCGCTTATTCTCCCAAACAACTTTGTCTACTTTGATATCATTCTTTTTCTATCCACCTATGTTCTTTGTATACTCTATGAATTATGACAACTTGAACTGATGCACTTTTGCGTAAGGTTCTACGTTGATTTGATCTATCTGTCTGTTCCGATGTGCCTCAGTAACTCAGTGGCGTCATTTGTTCTTACATCTACAAAGTAAAGTATTAGCCGTAACCAAACCGCTAATTTCATGACTGTTAGATTTTACATAAGTAGTTCTGTTGTTTCGAGAGTAACAATAGCACTAACTAAAGTCTGTCTATTATGTTGGTAGACTAGTTGGTTAATTCAAGAATCAGTCTGACTTGACGGCAGTCCATTACATAATAAGTATTATGAATCGGTTTAACAAGTACTTTACCTTTACACTATCAAATGGATGTACTTGAGTGGAATGCTTTAAAGTTACAGGAGTTCTCCTTTGTATCTTATCAAGTTACATATCGTAGTCATTCAGCATGATATGAAGAGACATTTCATCAAATAGGATGATGAATTTACAAAATACTTACAAACTTCATAATCGATGGTGACATTTTTTTAAGAGTTGAGTAGTTTTACGAGTGTCCAATCATGGCATCAACAGGGTTTATGTTGGGAACCTATCTAAGTGAAGTGGTTGACACGTTAAACGAGTTCACTAGACACAGCACCACTGACATCCGGTCCTGGATATGGTTGCGGAGAAACGAATCCTCAACATTCACAAATTACCACTCAAAGTGTGCAGAGGACTATATGTTATCAGCATCTTCATTTAACAGTTACAATGTTATCTGTTTATCCTAGATATACGAAGTAGTCTCTTAAGACAAGGTCAGTTTCAGAAAATGATTATCATCTATAACTCCATTATCTCAAAATCCTACGATCGTCAAACGCTTCACATTGTTTACAAATGGGAGGACTTCGCCAAGAAACAAACATCTTCAAGAGAAGAACTATATTTTCTACAAGAGTGTCTATGCCACTACGTTCTACCAACTAGTGTCAGACACAGACCACATATCGACTGTCCAATGGACTGGGAAACTAATGGGAAAAAGTGGAAGACCCATGGTACAACTGATGATCACGAATGCTCATTACAGGATCCGGAAATATCAGCAAACGATAGAAATCCGAGAGAGAAAGCTCCAGGGGATAGTCACAATAGATACTTTACAATGTTTTGAAATTGGGGATTAAAGTATACAGAAAACAAACTCATACTGATCAAATCCTCATCTACAATAATAACAACCCAATAGTGCATAAAATCAGTGGTATAGAAACGTTCAAAAGATTGAAAACATACAGTAGTATATCAACCTCGTGGAGAAAAGAAAACTATGTAATAGCTTTCTTTCAGAAGAACGGTTATCCTCACAACTTCATCAAAAGATGCTTACTTAATTCGTTGTCAACCAAGAAGTCAGCCTCGAAGACCAACAAGCGGATTATTCTACCCTATATGAAGAACATCTACGAGATCATGACTAGATTATTGAAGCCTTTTAGAATCACTGTACCTCACTAGCACACAAAATCTCTTCACTCTCTGATATGCAGGACAAAAGATGCGATAGAAAAGGAAGACAAATCAAAAATTATCTACGGGATAAACTGTATAGATTGCGAGAAGTACTATATCGTACTATATCATCCGTCTACATGAACATCATCAATGAGCAGTGAAGCATCATGACATATCTTCACTCATATCAATGAATACGGACAACTGTGGACATGAATTTGACTGGGGAAATGTGAAAATCCTGGCTGGATAGAGGATATACAAAGAATGCCAGAGAATTTTTAGAAGCTTGGTATTCAGACTAGTCAGCAAGCAACAGATATATTGACATTGATCCAATCTATCAAGCAATAAGAAGGTCAAACTTCAGGTCATCAAGACAACCAATCGAAATATATTTGGAAACAAAGACAAGAACCTTGGCAGAAACAACCAATCACAGATAAGGCCATCAGGACAAGCTACTACTAAATAAATTCCGGAGAAAATCTTATAGGTCACTTCTTTCTGAACCCTGTGCTGATGATGTTGTCTAGAATGTCAACGAAACCTCCAAGGTCAAACTAACCAGTTCAGAGAACACAACACCATCTAAAATTTCAAACTCTTTGAAGTAACCTTTCTTCGCATCAACTTTAAGGATAATATTCTCCAGTCATCCAATGTGTCCTGAAAACCCAAAAGATGAACTTCTGCATCCAATTATTTCTATATGTGTTTATCAATTCAACTGCTACTGTGGAGTCAGGTATGTAGGTCGTTCGATGCGCATTCTTTCCAAATGGGTTAGAGAATATTACACCGCCTAGCTGTAAAGTGGTGCAAGTAGGTCGATTAGAAGTGCAATAATGGAACATCTCATCAACACTGGTCACAATATCACAACTAATTCAAGGTGAAAAGAAATTTTTTGAGGGGGTTGTGGAGATTTGGAAATATTTCAAGTTGTTATTCATCGATGTCAGTCTTCGATGAATAACAACTTGGAATATTTCCAAATCTCCACAACCCCCTCAAAATTTAATTGAACTAGTGCTCGTTGGTGACTAGCTTCGAGAAGTATTCACGAAGTTCCAATGACAAGTCGTGACCGGTGGAGTCAAAGCCTGATGGCCGTGAGGACAAATACTCAATGATGACATTGGGTGGCGGTTTGCGCTATATCGTGAGCTAACAGAAGTTGGAAATATAGAGCATTGAATTCTGACCCAGTGGCCAGCTCAATGGTAACGCGCTGGTCGCGGAACCTGAAGGTCGCGGGTTCCATCCCTGCTGGTGGGGTCGTGGGTGCGCACTGCTGAGGAGTCCCATACTAGGACGAAACAGCTGTCCAGTGCTCCCAGGTTTCCTTTGTTCCTCCAACTGATGTCAGTCTTCGATGAATAACAACTTGAAAAGAAATTTACCAAAAATGGTACGCTCCTGTCTTCTCTGTACTGTAGAAGCTCTTGATAAATGCATGGAGTAACTGGAATTCTGTCTATAAAATGAACTTGAACAACCTTTGTTGCTACCTTGATCTTAGAAAATTCTTAACAATACATCCACTTCCATCTCTTTCGTATCATTCACAATCTTGTTGTACTTTATAATATATTTCAATAACCCAATATCATCTTCATTTTGTTTGTATGCTTCAATCTTGAAAATCATTTTCACATTCTATGCAACTTTATATTCTATTCAGTTAACTTAATTATCTTGGTTTTTATGCTCTTTCGTGATAAGCTAGAGTGATTTTAAAAGCCACCCTAGCAACTGCTGAGGTAACCAACCAAATTTCAGAGTTTCGACCAGGACGGTAGTTTTTCTTAAAATAAAAAAAAAGTGATTGCTTATCTCATCAGTTGTTAGGTCAGTTGGCCTTTAAAGTCACTCTTTCAAGCTTTACACTCGCTCATGAGTTAGTTATAGTATCAAATTGTGCAGTTCACTGAATGATACATCACCTGAATTGAAGAAAAACACTCAACTGTTTCACTTGTATAACGGAGAACCATAGAACCAAACTTAGGTACATACACACGTATGCTAGGTTTAGAGTTGAGTGACTTTAAAGGCCATCCCAGCAACTGCTGAATAGACCAATCAGGCTTCGATATTTCACCTGGGAATGTACTTTTCCATAAAATACAGGAATATAATTGGCTGTTTCATTAGTTGCTAGGGTGCCCCTTGAAGTTACTCTCAGTGTTCCCATGTTGAGTTTAATCACAAAAATTTTTTTTCCCATGAATGCAGTAGGTTTCCTTTTTAAACCGAGTATTACCACACACACAGGGTAAAATTTGCCAGTAAAGTGATCAGCATACACATGTAATGAAATTCTAGTACAGACGCTTAACAAGTTTACATAGATGCATATATTTCCGGATGGGAGGTAACACTGCAACAAGTAGTTAGCCTTCTCCCTAGCTGCCTATCAATCACAAGTCAGATAAAAAAAAGGTCTTTTAGGTGTTTACTGAAGTTGCGGATGGTACTCATTTTCTTTATGTTTGGAGATTTATGGGGTTTTGAATGATTTCAGGTTGGCACTCATCATGGACTGGCATCAACTGAAGAACTATTAAAAACCTAGGAGCACTGTAAAGCTATTTCGTCCCAGTATAGGAGTCCTCAGCAGTACACACCCACAACTTGGGTAGGAGTCGAACTCAGGGCCTTCAGGTTTCACAGCGAAAGCGTTAACCACTCAAACAATAGGTCGAAGATCAACAGTCCACAGTTCCCTACTTCAATCAATTCATGATATAGCACGACTATCATCCAAGGTCTTCACTTGGGATCAGTTTCACTTCATACTAAGACGTAATGAATACAACCTTTAAAAATAAAATCCCAATAAACTTCAGAGTTAGATTTGTGTTATTACTTTATGAAACAGACGGTATTCACTCACCTTGAGAATTCTGCAGATTGAAAGACACATGATTTGACGGTTTACTAGACATCTGTTTATGAATGACGACATTGTTAGCACTATTTCCATTCAAAGTGACCAGTGGATTTTTGTTCAGTAGGCGTGTTGACGAAGTATTTGGAGCAGGAGGTTTTGCAGCATACGATGAATTGGTTGTATCAACATGATTACCATTATTGTTTATTGTTGTTGTTGTTGTTGACGTTGTCAATGGTGATGATGATGGAGGCGGGTAACTTGTCATATGTGCTACATTTACACCATGATTAGGTGAAGATGGACTGGAAGAATTTCCTGTCCAATAGTATACAGATGATTGTGAATGTAAACGAGATGAGGATAAAGTTGTTGGAAGACTTGGACTTGGCGGTTGATTAAGAAATATTTGATTTACATGAGCATGAGTAGATGGTCCATCAGGTGTTTTGCTAGGTGGATTAAAGTTTTCACTATTAGAATTTGTTGTTTTTTCTAAACCCTGTAAAAATAAATAAATAAACACAAGGATGAATAAATTATACTGAGAGTATATGGAAAGAAACTTCGATACAAAGATATTATCGACTTGAGAAGAGAAGTAGGGAAAATCGGTAGCAATCACTCGTCAGCAAGGCATATCTGCAGCCTTGAGGGAAATGATATTCCGCCTGAGATTCGATCCCGTGTCATCCAGTACTACAGTCAGTGACGGTACCACTGAGCTGTTCGCACCACAACTAACCGCCTGCAAGACTGGATTGCACACAAAGTTTGGTCACTGGAGAGTATCCAATTCCCTGTTGTCTAGTTCTAAGCGCTGATTGAATTCTATTGGTCATTTTGAAGTGTAACCACCAACCAGGCTAGAAGACCATCATGATACACTGAGACAGATGTTAGTTGGATGGAGGTAATCGACAGGAAGCTCTGCTGCATATGGGTTTCGTGCTTGTTGGCACTCGTCAGCAAGGCCTATCTGAAATCTGAATGGAACTGATGTCCCACCCAACATTCAAACTCATTCCCATACTTTGCGATCTAGAAAGAGAGGAAGTAAGAGTAAGTTATTTTTCTCTGCATTGTCTATAGTTCCAGCTCAAAGCCCTGAAGAGAAGTCCACCAGTCAAAGGTTTTCCAACTTTACTCTGCCTCAATTAACACAGCCGTCTAGACGAGTGAGAACTTTTCCTGTTATCAACGGAACTGGAAACTTCAGATGAGGTATGAAAAACATACTAACCGACAATATCATCAACTTGTTCCCCTCCTTTATCTAACAGTGTACACTTAACCCGTGAGTTGCTCATATGATGGCTGCACTACACGAAAGCCATACTACGATGATCACATATGGTCTTCTTTAGGAGAACTGATGCTTGTAGAGTTATGTCCCCACTCAGAAAGACTTACCACTGCCGTGAAAAACAGCCACAAGTGGAATGATAGTAGCTGGTGTTGGGCTTAATCACTCTCCAGCCTACCGTAATAATATCAAAGGATCTCAAGATGCGATTATTCCAGCCAGTTGAAGTGGCTGGATCACAAAGATAAGCTCTATTTATAAATGAAGACTAGTCATGGTGTAGTAATCAGGTTAAAGCAGTATTTTTCGCTTTAAATTATATCCACCTCATAAGTCACATTAGAATTGTTCACATTTAGAAGTATTACTTTCAGAAAGTACATCATCCAAATTCAAGGAGATGTAATAAATTTAAAGATAATCTCAGAAAATGAGGTAAAACTCTCTACAATTAAAAGTACTATGACATTTTATAATTGTTTTACCTTATGGTAGAAAGCAATAAAGCATTACAACACACACACACACACACAAACTGGCATTTCTAACTAAATTAGATATTATATTAATTTACTTAGTTGTGGCTAGTAGAGGAATTCGGGATGCGCGTTTCGTCCTATTTGGGACTTGTCAGCTGTATGTACGAACATCCACGTTAATTACGATAATAAATATTCAGGTATTGTAGAGGCATCTGCATAGGAGCCCACATGCCAACAGAGGTCGAACAATTCGATCCAATATAACAACGGAGAACTACAAGTATATCAATAAATAGTAATAACTAATACCCACTGTTCAAGAAGTGGCTGTCGTGCCTCCACGGCATAGTGGATAACGCCTCGGTGCTCGAAGCGATGGGTACGACGTTAGAGTCTCCATGTGAACAACATCACTCACTGGGATGCAGGTGCATCCAGTTGAGGAGTCTCTAATAGGACGAAATGCGAGTCCTGCATTCCTCTGCTGACCGCAACCAAGTGAATTACCATAATAAACATTCAGGCAATATGAAGACATCCACACAAGAGCCCAGATGCAAACAGAGATCGAACAATCTGATCCAATATGACAGCAGAGAATTATAAGTATATCAACAAATAGCTATAAATTAGATATTGATGTTACAGGTTGTAGTTTCGTATGGTTAAGTGGACCAAGATGACCGATCCCTAACAGTATACTGGCTCCTATGAGAATACTTATATATTGCTGCTAATTTTAGTCCAAAACAAATAAACGATTATGGTTAGTAGTAGAACCTAGAGTGTGCGTTTCGTCCTTCACAGGTTTCATCAACTGCCCCCCACGCCGGCGATGTTTTTCAGGTTGAGGTTTGAACTCAGTATCCATGATTTCAAACTCTAAGGCGTTATTCTCACTAGGCTACTGACTCATAACTGGAAGAAACAGGCATTCTTGATACCAATGTTAGCCACTATATATCACTAGTATCGAAGTTAAATTACCGGAAATATTGAGGCATCCAAACAAGCGACTGGTCAGTTCGATTCAGTCAACGCGGTGAAATAACGAGCTACAAACATAAGATATGCCAGTTTTAAAGGGGGTGGCCATAGTCACTCTGAAGCTCTGAAGCGTGAAATGATGGTTACCAGGTTCGAGTCCACATAGGGACAACATCGCTTTCTAGGTGGCAAGTACACCCACCTGTTGACGAGACCTAAACAGGCTGAAACGTACGTCTTACGTCCTACTGCGAGCCAGTACCTACCACCGGCACTAAATTAGGCATTCATATGAAAACTATATGATAAAGTTATTCAGGTGAAAGTTGAACTCATCCGTAAATAACCCTATTCTCAGGCTAGGGAAAAAGTTCTATCTTGTTCAAAGATTGTTATGTGATGAAAGTTCTTCGTCTATCCTATTCGCCATCTTGTTCATCGCGTAACACAGTCTGTTCCATTCACTGAGATAATTTATAGTGTACGCAGAATTAAATGAAATAGGAATTATTTACAATTGTGGTGAGCTCTAAAGTTTACAGTTTTCTTAACTGAAGAGAAATATTTCAGTCAATGGGTCTTTTATTTACATCCCTCAGTTTGCTCCTAAACTGTTTCCATCTTATTTGAACTTCACCACAAATCACTTGGAAAAGAACTGAAAACGTTTTCACCAAATTTAATGTCATATATACAAGCGACTACTCAACAGTCTATTCTTACTCCATCAAAAATGCGTCATTAATTAATTTATGGATTCTGACCCTGTAGTTAACATGCTTGCTGCGAAACCTGAAAGTTCTGCGTTAAAGCCCTGGCAGGATCGTGGGTGCGTACGACTGAGGACTTACGTACTAGGACAAAACAGATACCCAGTGCTTCCTGGTTTTCAATGATTCCCAATCTATAATCAACCAAACCTCCAAACTGGAATTAATGCTTAAGTTGACAAATAGCGAAAAGCGTGACCTGTAAGCCAGTTCATCAGGAAACGATAGCTGAAACAGTTACAAACTACTTCTAAAAATGTTTTGGCAGCACTTATCTCCTAAACGGACGTAGTTTTAATGGTCTATTACTGGTCAACTAAAGGGTATGCGTAGCGAACATGAGATATCTCTTTTTGTGGGCATTCACATTTGAGGTGATTTTGTGATCTCGAGAGAGCTGAGAGTCTCGTTGATATCGAAAATCATGTTACCCCGCAAAAGTATCAGAGATATCTCCTACTGAGGTACATTGATAATGAGAAAGTCATATCAAAGGGCAGAGAGACTATGCTTCCAGGGAAGACTGAAAGAAGAACTTCAGCCAGTCGAACAATCTCTATGCAACAATTGTTATATAGTGAAGTTAGAGCAAAAATACCACAAAGGTAAGGAGAAGAAAGAGAAGTGTTATACTGCTGAGGAAAAACCACTGTTTCCTACTTTGGTTGTTAAAGGAGGTGGTGTCGTGGCAAAAATCAAAAGACGAGTTAGAAATGCACAGTTCAAGACTTATCACACAGCAAGAGAGAGAAGTTGGACTTTAACAAACACTCCAATGACCCTCTCTCTCTCTCTCTCTCTGCATAAGACAGAAGAAATCAACGTAGAACCTCTCACATAAGTACATGGCCTCAGGTTACCACAGTTCACAGTAGTATAGAAAGAATAAATAAATCGAAAGGGAGTGATATTAAAGTAGACAAATCTGGATGGGATGAGAATGATTAAGCTTTAGAAGACGTCGAAAAGTGAATACATCTGCGCCATAGTGACTGGTTTTAGGTCATTTCACCAAGAGTCCCCCAGTCACCGATTCCCACGGTCTCGAGAACCCCAGCCAGGTAGTTTACATCTCCATGCACGGCTCAGACAGACAGTCAAGGACTTCATTCATGGGCTGGTGCTACTTCTCCGCCTGATCACCCTGAACTCTCTTCCAACCTAACCCAACTTCCCTTCAAGGTGGGCGATGGATCGGGATGCGCAGTTCATTCCCAATCCATCTCAATCGATGAAGACTCATCAACTAACTTGCTTTCCTTCTCTACTTTTCTTCACTTGACCTCAACACTGCTCATATATTCATTCCACCGATACCGACGATCAAAACCCTGTAACCGCTTCTTGTCTTCTACTTTTAATGGTCATTTTTCACAGCTGTATAACAGCTCTCTGCTTAAACAGATGTAAGTGCAGAAATCGACAGTCTATTGCTTGAAGCAGACGATATTGAGTGTAAATGAGAACCAAAAAACTTGCTACGGGATATCAGAGCATTCAGTTGATAAGTCGTAAATAGGGAAAAATCCTGGTTATTTGACGCCATCAATTTGACAAAAATTATTCACTATGAAACAAAGAATGTCAAGCTGTCTAATTCTCAGTGAAGATGAGATTCCACTTATTGGATTTTCAGTGCGACCATCAGGCTGACTGATCCGACAATGAAGCCAATTGTGTTTTATGTTTGATCATGAGGTGATGAAACGAATCGAAATGTGCATATCCGTGCAATAGGCAACGAACCACACCTATTTTCTGAGGTCTTATGACACTAACTGACCGCACAAACCTCGATTTTCAGAGCGAGGTTCGAACCCGCGGGTCTACTAGTTGGAAGTAACCAGATGTAGTCAAAGGTAACAAATTATTGTGTTCAGCTGGGTCATACTAGTCATTTTTGATAAGAAAAGTTCTACCGTGTCATATTTTACAACACACTTGAGCGACTCAGTCA